CCCAGGGGCCCACCCAATGCAGCCGAAAAGGAGTGCGTGGAGCTGGGAGTGGGTGCAGCCTACATGGCCTAAGACAGGGCTCTTACCCTCCTTTCACCCACATCGGAGTCCCTTGACGTTGCCCATCGTCGACAGCCTAAAACCTTCGACCATCGATGTGACTCGTCTCACATCAGTGTTTTGGGGTTGTGAACTTGTCTAAGACCCCCCATAATTAGACATCCAAATTCAAAAATTCACATAGTTGGGATTGATCATAAGATGCCTTCTCTAACTAAACAGAGAAGGGGGAGATGCCAGAAGCCAGGACCCTCGCCCTTACCCTCACCCCCTACCTTTCCCCACCTGCACAATGTCCTCTGAAGCTTGGCAACTGCAAGATCCTGCTTAGCAACTGCAGATAGACTCAAAGCAGAGTACCATATCATCTTAAGAATAGCAGGGAGACAATAACTCAAGCAGTGTACCATATCTTCTGAAGAACAGCAGGTAGATCATAATTCAAGGCAGAGTACCTTATAGACCATGACATGTTTCAAGGCACAGGCCAAGAAGATTTTGTACTTTTCCACCACCTGGCCCCTCTTACCCCCTCCCCTTGTAAAACATGCTATAAAAAAGCATTTCATGTTCAAAAAAAAAGAAATTAAAAAAAATAATAAATTATTTAAAAAAAGAAAATATCATTTATAAGATACAGCAGAGTCATGTATTGATTGAGTTGCACTGTTTTCTGTTATAATACTTAAATCTATCATCACTAGTCAAATATTTATGCTGAGGAATTGTGGGAAATAATAGCAAATATAAGAGAAGGGCACAATATGGGAGAGTCCTAACTGAGCAAAAGTGTACCCATTCAGTCTGTAAGTATGAAAGAACTTATGTCTTTATATGGTGTTCAACTTCAAGTAACACAGTTTCTTGGGATCAAGGTATAATATACATACCTATTGTGTATTTCCTCTTTTAAAACTATAGTTATCAAGGTTAAAGCTATAACATCTTATATGTAATTCAGTAAAAATGATTCTGATAAATTATCCTTTTAATTTAAAGCAATGCCTACTCCAAACTAACAAATACTTCACAAGGCAAACACATCATTTTTTGTTTTTTTTTTAAATAATCAGAATTATTTGAGTGAGTTAAAGATCTAATAGTTCTTTCTCTGTTGTATATTTTCTGACTGCAAGATTTTCTTTTATATAACTTTAGTATATCTTTAAAGTATATGATATAAAATAGAGCTTACATACATTAGAAATGCCATCTGTAATTTTAAGTCATTGAAAAGAAATGCATTCTCTAGAGACATATGTTCCATATGTTTGGTCTTACTTTGGGCATCTTGGGACACTGGGCTAGTGCTAAGTGCTGAGAAGAGTAAGTTTGGCAGCTGCAACCAGTCTTAACTGTTCATCAATGATTTGCATATACTTACTGAACAGCTTTAGGGACTTCATATACCAGTTACAGCATGTACCATTGTCATAGCACTGAAGATCAGCATGGCCATTAGAGCCCCTGTTCAGTCTCCTGGGTTCTTATTACTCTGGTTTAGAGATAAAAAAATTTAAATGAGAATTGTACAGTTATGATGTGATTTAGTGTTGCCTGACATTTGAGGAATGTGCTGTTTTATCATGTGCATATTTGATATGTCTCCACTCCTGGGTGCCAGATGTGTTATTCAGATGACCCAGTCTTCATTCTCCCTTTCTGAATCTTTGAGAGACAGAGTCAATATTATTTTCAGGGCAAGTAAGGGCATTGGCAGTTATTTAAACTGGTTCCAGCAGAAACCAGGGAAATCTCCTAAATGCCTGATCTATCTTGCAACCAACCTTGCAGATGAAGTTCCATCAAAGTTCAGCTGCATTGTGTCTGGGGCAAATTATTCTCTTGCCTTCAGCATCCTGAAGTATGACGATATGGCAATCTAGTACTGTCTATAGTATAAAGACTCTCCTCTCATAGTTATACAAGGCATAACATAAACCTTCATGGAAGCAGAAGTGAGTGACTGGACTACCCTACTAGCTTCTCTTCATGAGTGAACCACTGAGAACCTGCTTCTCAGATGTAACCGGACTTTTAGCAAAGGTTATGAAGAGTCATTTAATTTGCTACATGAAGCTAAATTTTCTTCTTTGTATCCTATTGTTCATTCTCTTCATCTTCAGCAATATAGAGTACCAAATGTCTTTCTGCCTTAACAGAGGACACCTTCTTTCCCTTTGGGAAGTTGTAAGCTCAGATGAGACTCATAAAGAACAGTAGAAGCCTCTGCTGATTTTTGAAGCACACATTGGTAAATAAAATATTTGTTTTTAATTGTCAGTATTTAAGAGGTAGATAAATCGTACCTAGAGAAACTAACAGTGGAAAAGATTCTTAGTTTTTAGTTTTCTCATAAATGCTAGAGCCCATGTGTCATGGTAAGAGAAGGCTGCCTGCCCATCATCCTGTGCTGTTTCTTGAAATTCTAACAACAAGTTGTGATGCTGCCCACGGTGTGCACCATTTCACATAGGATTATTCTTAATCTCTGCTTATAATAATCAAACATCATTGAATCACACTCACAAGATTTTTAATTCCACTACATAAAATGTAATTCTGATTTGTCTATATCAAGTTATAGAGAATAAAGAGTTATCTTAAAGATGCTTCCAGAAGTTTTATTATTGAAGATTTGATATCTAGGAGCATAGCTTTTGATACACACAAAACAGCAACAGAACAATAGAGATCTATATTGTATTCCCTTGTGTTTTTAGAAATTGTGTGTGTAAGATCTATTTCCTGTCTCCTTGTGATATCCCATTTCATCTAACCACCTGTGTACCCCCTCCCATTAAGCTAAGTTTTATTTACTTTTTAACTTTTTTTGGGATTTCACATCAATTTCATATCTCCCTTCCTTTTTAACTGCCTCCTCAACCTTGCAAACTATTCCATCCCCAAGCCCAGAAAAATAATCTTTCATGGAGTTCCAGTGTGTCACAGTGTATACCCCATTAAACACTGTTGTCTATTCTTTGCCTGCAGTGTTAATTGCAATGAATTTTTGGCCTGCTACAAGATTCTTCTGGATGCTTTTACACTATCCTGATTGGAATATCATTGGGACTCCTATTGGGTACACTGTGGTTGCCTGTGTCATGGTGGTCCTGTAGTTTTCCATTTGTAGGATTTACCCCATCATGCACTCTAGTAAGTACACCATCAGTGAGGTAGATGTTGTGGTGGGCCAGTTCAAAACCCTGGATCTAGGCCTGAGGTTATCTCATCTGGTCAGTCCTGCTGTCTCATTCTTATGTCATTGTTGTTGGCTTACCAGCAACCTCCACAACCAGGACCAGCTCTATCTTGCTGTCCAGGTGAGGTGCAGTGCTAACTCTTTTTTAGGATGCAGCTGGTGATGGATATGACTTGTTCTCCCACTCTCATGACCCCAGGACCAGCTCTTCTTCCTCTCATAGATGGGGGGTGATAAAGGAGGGTAGGGGCATGTCTCTCCCTTGTCCACACCATTTCCCAGCAGACAAGAAGCAGGGCCAGCTCTACTGTGCTCTTGCCATTGGGACTATCTCACCTGCAACCTAAACATTCAGGGCCAGCTCCAATATTTTGCCTAGGTGAGATGCAGGAGCTGGCCCACTACATCCTGTGGCAGATGATTATCTGTATTAGCACTCGTGCTCTCATGACCCCACTGAGGCCAACTCTTCTGTGCCCTCTGCAAGAAGCAAGGGCAAAAGGGGATGATGTGATTACTCTCTCACTCCCAATGCACAACAGACAAGCAGCAGGGCCAGCTCTTCCACACTCATGCCCTCAAGGCTAGCTCACTTACAACCCTCATATCTAGGGTTAGCTCTCCTATGCTGTCCAGGTGAGGTGCAAGGTCTGCTCACTGGAATGCTGCAGCTGGCAAGGGACAGAGCCAGATCTCCCTCTGATGTCACTGGGGACAGATTCCCTGCCTGTTGTAGGTGGCAATGGATTAGGGGGTGATCTCTCCCTTCTCTAGTCACCACATGGCAGAGAAGTAGCAGAGCCAGTTTTCTTATGACCAGGCCCTGAGGGCCACCTTTTCTGCCTGCTGCCATCAGGGTCAGCTTTACAGTGTCACCTAGGCGAGTTGCAGTGTCTGCTGTCCTGAGTGCTCCACATGAAGAGGGCAGGGCCTGCTATTCTGTTTTAATGAGTGCAGGAGTGGTAGAAAAGGAAAGCTGACAGGAAAGTGTGCAGAAGCCTCTAGTAGCAGGAGAGAGAGAAAGAGAAAGAGACAGAGAGAGAGAGAGAGAGAGAGAGAGAGAGAGAGAGAGAGAGAGACAGAGAGACAGAGAGAGAGACAGAGAGAGAGAGACAGAGAGAGAGAGAGAGAGAGAGAGAGAGACAGAGAGAGAGAAAGAGAGAGAGGAGCAGAGAGGAGCAGAGAGGACAGAGAGGACAAGAGGAGAGAGTGTAGAGAAAGAAAAGAGATAAGGGAAGAGGAGAGGAGAGAGAGAATAGAGTGGGAGAGAGAGGAGAAAAAGAAGAGAGAAAGTCCAAGTTCAAGCCTGGAAGCTTGCCTGTCAGCCTATACCCAAAAACATTGCCTGTGTGTTTTTTTTACATGCCTTTCAGATAGTGTTGCTTCCAGTGGTGAAACATCCTCTTGTGTTGAGTTTGAACCTGGCACCTTCTCGTGTATTCTGGTTCCAGGCAGAGATCATCTAAGGAATGATCTGTTTCCCAGGCCTGCCTGGGAATAGACTGGTGGTCATCTCAGTCTAGCTCCTTATCTGGGCCTCACAGTGCCACTCTGGTGGTTGTCTTGGGCTCTCTACTTGCTATGTCTGCCAGAGTTCCCCATGCAAGTTGCCCCTTTCACTCCTGCCCACGGACCTTGGTCCTAGTGTGGTTGTTCTAATATCTGTCACTCTGTCCTAGGAGACTGTCTGGGCCTGCCTAGTCTGGTTGTCTTCTCAGGTTTACTGCTTTCATGGAATGCTAGGCTACTAATCATTCAGATGTTCATAGGTCAAAAGGCTGACCAGAGACATAGCCTCTCTCTTCTCTGCCACCTGCTGACACACATGTGACACAGAAGCAATAATCCTCTAGGGTGCAGGAGTACACAATAATCTGAATTTTGTTAAGGGAGGTATTAAAATATATGGTCCTCAACCTTTGCTGCTCTGTCACCAACTCTTTCAGCCCCAGCAGTCCCACATTTTAGTAACCAATAGAACTGCCAAGATCCCATACTAAGCCCAGCACTGTCTGGCCACCTGGCCCCTGCCTGATATTTTCACCTCAACAGGCTCTCTAGTGGGGCAGAGTTCCTGAGTTCCCCTTGTTTCCACAGCATCCCCACTAAGCCACCCTCCACCTTGCAGTGAACTGTTATAACACCCATCAACTGGTAGAAACAAAACACTTGTAGCTTATAATTAACCAGTCAGATTTATATATATACTCAAATATAGTAAATACTCAAATCACAAGAAGTCCACACAATAATTTCAAGGCCAGTTGATATACAAGATGCCCACACAGATTAGACAAGTCATCCCAATTATTCTAACCCTATAAGATAGTCATAACTACCTGTGGCTACTTAAAGCCATGCTGGTTCATGTCTGCCTCCATCTTTGCCTTCCTCTTCACTCCCCTGTCCCCCCCATATCCTTCTTTCTCTCCCACTGTGCTCTACTTTCCTTTTCCCTGTCCAATCTCAGGCCTCCACACTAATATCTAAATAAATTGGACAGGGAAGTTCCTGCTACAGAATTACTATAATTTTATACACCAGAGAAGAATAATAAAGTCAGAAGATATGATACCAATTTTCTAGGCCTCCGATTTTCTTATTTAGGCCTCATATTTTCTTATTTATGCTGTTCTTTAAGTGTTTACATAAATTCTGAACTGAGTTTACTAACTTTCAAAACTCTTTCAAGAATATTAAATCCATTACATTGAGTTTATTTGCAAATTGGAGATGACATACTTTTAAAAGACATTTATGAGACTAGAGAGAATGCTCAGTGATTCAGAGCATTTGTGCTCTTGAGGGGGCCTGGGATTGACACTCACCCACAAGCTGACCCACAGGTGTCTTCATCTTCAGTCCCAGATTCTAAAGCATCACTTTCTGTCCTTTGAGGAACATATGCATAATCTCCTTACAAACTTGTATGCAAAATATACATAAATTTTTAAAAAATGTAGTCCACATTATGAACACAGATATATTCTCTATTTACTTATGTGTCTTTCATAGGAAAGGGGATGACATCTGAAATGTAAATAAATAAAATATCCAATAAAAAGGGAAAAAAAGGGCATTTTGCTATCCTTAGAGGAAGTAGAGATTTCTAATTACTTATAAATATCTAAGTTATACTTTTCTTTATGAATGTGAATACTAATATTAACAAACATTTCATTTCATGTTTTTGTTGCTCATTAGTGACTATATTTGTTGTATCTGGGGTATTGTTTTAGATACAAATGGCAAGAGTAGATATTTTGATCTTTTGTGTAATCTGAGGTCTAAAATGTCTAGTATTTTGACACTGGGTAATATATTTCCTGAGTTTTATCAAAGCTAGTTTTCTAGCATATAAAGAAGAAATATGATTTCTTCTTTAAAGATTTTTGACTGCCGAAGATGTGTTTTTTAAAACACTATTGAGATATTCATACAATGATTATTTTTACTGTTAAAAGGATTAATTATATGGATATAGTTTACAATGTTAAAGTGGCCAAAGTCTTGTGAAATACATTCAACTAGATCACACTGTCTCCCAGGAGGGAAACAAATTGATGAATGTAGAGAATTAGAGGGAGAAGAAGTAGACAGAGAACATGAGGAAGAGACACTAAATAAAATATGCTGTATTTCTTTCCTGTATATACCTGTCTCATTGTTCATCCAGTCAAACAACATTGTTAGAACAGGCGTTTTTAATAAAATAACAAGATTTTTTTATTGTATCATTAGTTTAGTGCTGACACCTACTCGTCTACAAAAAGAGCTGTATTGGTCTCTGTTTAGTGTATGTATTCTCCTTGGTCCTTAAACATTACAGCAAGGGTATCTCAGTGTGAACTTGTACTCCTTTCAATGTTTCTATCTCTTTAAATATTTGCTCCATTAATTCTTAGCTAATTTTTAATTTTCAAAGAAATGCTGATGTGGTATTCATCATGATCTATAATTTGTATAACTGAAAAAGGCTTGGGGAAAACAGAATTATTTTTAAAGTCAGAAACCCTCTGATTTTGGGACTTTCAGTACACACATCATGACTAGACAGACAGTCTTTAACAGTGTTAAATGGATAATCTTTACCTATCTGTATTATCATTTCTTCTAGGCTCTACCCCGCAGTTGCCTGGCAATATCCAGGTATGCCTGACTAAGTATAAAATGGACTTTTTTTTACTCCTTCCTGTCTCTCCTATCCCCTTGCCCCTTACTCTCTTCCACTCTTATCTCTCTTCCACTTCTTTCTGCATTCCCCTTACCCTTTCTCTCCAAAGGTTCATGCAGGCCTCTACTCCTCTTTCTCCTGTGTCTCTTTCTGTGTTTCTGTCTCTGTTTCTATCTCTGTCTCTGTCTCTCTCTCTCTGTCTCTTTCCTAACTCCCCTTCCCATTCCCTAAATATGCTCTACTTTGTACTATACAGGTCCTTTGGCTGGTACCTCAAGGGGAAGGGATGCCTCAGCATAATGAATATAGCAGGAACTAACAATCCTCTATCATTGACATCTCTCAATATCAATATCATCTCTCTATTGCTCTATAAAAAGATATAAGCTAACAGACTGGATATACAAACAGGATCCAGCATTTTGCTACATATAAGAATCACACTTCAGCTGGGCGGTGGTGGTGCGCGCCTTTAATCCCAGCACTTGGGAGGCAGAGACAGGTGGATTTCTGAGTTCGAGGCCAGCCTGGTCTACAGAGTGAGTTCCAGGACAGCCAGGACTGTGCAAAGAAACCCTGTTTCGAAAAATCAAAACAAAAAAAAATGTTAAGAAACACACTTCAATAAGTAAGACAGTCCCTAACTCAGAGTAAAATGCTGGAAAAACATGTTCCAAGCAAATGGTCTCAAGAAACAAGTTGGAGTTGCCATCCAAATATCCAATAACATAGATGTTCAACCAAAAGTTATCAAGTGAGATGGGGTAGGACATTTCATACTCATCAAAGGAATAATCCTCCAAGAGAAACTCTCAATTCTGAACATCTATGCCCCAAATGCAAGGGAGCACATGTTTATAAAATAAACTTTACTAAAGGTCAAAACATACATTGAACCCCCAAAAATAATAGTGGGAGACTTCGATATTCCACTCTCACTAATAGACAGGTCATTGAAACAGAAACTAAACAAAGACTCAGCAAAACTAATGGGTTTATAAACTAAATGTATTTAACAAATATCTATAGAACATTTCATTTCATCCTAAAACAAAAGAATATACCTTTTCCTCAACATCTCATGGTACCTTCTCCAAAATTGACCATATAATTGATCACAAAACAAGACTCATCCAACACAAGTAGATTGAAATAATCTCATGCATCCTATCAGATCACTATGGACTAAGGCTAGACATCAATAAGAAAAAATAAATAAACAAACACAGAGCAAGAACGACAACAAACCTTAGAAACCCACAAACTCATGGAAAGTGACAACTCTATTCAATGATAACTTGGTCAGGGAAGAAATAAAGAATGAAATTAAAGACTTCATGGAATTCAATGAAAATTATAACCTAGCATACACAACCTTACGGAAAACAATGAGACACAATTGCTGATGCCAAGAGGTGCTTGCTGAACAGACCCTGGTCCCTAAGAGGCTCTGCAAGCAACTGATTAAGATAATGTAGATACTCATAGCCAATGTTCAGACTGAGCCAGAGGACGCTAATGCAAGATTTAGTGAAAGAACTGAAGGCGCTAAAGGGGATCACAACCCATAGGAAGAACAACAGCACCAGCTAAACAGACTGCCCAGATCTCTCAGGGACTAAGCCACCAACTAAAGTATATACATAGATGGGTGAATAGCTCCAGCTACATATGTAGCAGTAGATTGTCTCACCAGGCATAAATGGGAAGGGAGGCCTTTTTGTCCTGTGGAGGCCTGATGCACCAGCATAGGTGGATGCTAGAGGGGTGAGGTAGGAATGGGTGGATGGGTGGAGGAGTATCCTCTTAGAGACAAAGTGGAGGAGGGATGTGATTAGGTGTTTGTGGATCAGAGACAGGGAAGGGGGACAACATTTGAAATGTAAATCAATAAAATAAACAAAAAGAAAAAAGGAAATATGTTCAACCTTAGTTTTTGGCCCAACAGACAGGGCCAAAATTTTGAAAACGTCAACACGATAAAGGGTCCTCCCCTGATTCACACTGACTGATAAATTTGTTCTCATGACAAATCACTTGTACCATATATGAGGGATGTATTCTTTAAAGACATGCAAATGCAAAACTTGGTTTTCATCTTTAAAAAGGTAAAGAAACATTTTGATATATTGTCCATTAAAACTCTTTCCCAGTGGGGAAACTCAGATCTTATAATGTTTCCATCCCATATCCTGGAGAATTGAATATCATTCATGCAAATCACTGAAGTTTCTGGTTTCAAGTATCTAAATGACATGATATCACTGTTGTGTCATGAGGAGCTATGCTTTATGTTTAGACAATTAAAGACTCTTCAGCAAATCCTGAGAAAAATTAAGGAAGTCAATGTTGCTTGGGACTGACAACAGGGGATGACGATTTATTCATTCCACATGAATTCAGCAATTCGAAGAAACATTTTAGATTATGCTCATTGTTCAACCCTGCATGTGAAAAAGCATCCACACTCTATCAAATTTAAACACTTTACAAAATTACCAGCAGAAGGAGACATCATATGATCAGGTATGGATCAAGGAACCTGCTACCCTCAGTGTTTCCAGCAACTTGAAACTCCTATTATTTACATAAGTGCCTCATTCAAGTTGTCTAACTGATGGTTAGAACATAATAATATGGTATATCTTGTCCTGTTTCATAATAAGCATATACACATAGAAACATGA